TTAGAGACTTAAAAAGGTATTTACTCCAAATATAAATATTGAATCAAGAGAAAAATAAGTACCTACAACAAAGAAAAAGTAAAGAAAAGAAAAACTAAGTTCGAAAGTTTTATGTCCGCACTGGCGGACATTTGCCCCAACGTGGGTTCGCCAGTGGTCGTCACCACCACTATCGTTGCCACTATTACCACCACCACGTCGTCGCCACTGTCGCCGTCGCCACACCATATGGAAATAAAAGTGTAATCCAAAAACAATTTATGCTTAATAAGAATTATATTTTATTATATTATTTATTATGTTATCAAATACAATTCTCATTCTCGGAATAAAAAATAGAACATTGTAATGTCCCACATAATTAGGAACTTATATAAATTATAATTAAGAACATAGAAGTGTGCCTTGAATTCAACTCCAATGTAGTTAAGGAATTATTTTCTGCATGCTTGTAGGAATAAAAGTCTTGATTGATTTGAGTACAACGTACAAAAGCCTTAGTTAATATCTAGAGGATACATGAAAGAACAATTAGTGGAATACTACACCTGAAAGATGATCTATTAAGAGACTAACATTCTTGGACCATAGGATCTATTGGGGCGTCAGCCCTAAGTCTCTAAATTGAAGTATGTGTAGGATAGGAATAATTTAGGTACTCTTTATGAAAGCTCTAATTACAACTTAGTGGCTACATGAAACAATATGGCTTAGGTAAATTATTGGGTCTACTTTCTCTCATGGGCCAACCACGGCCCAAGCCTTTAATTGGGGTTTAATACAGCCCAATATTTTCATGCTCATGATCCTTAGCATATTCTTAAATACAATCTACACACTTATTCTTGATTGGCCAAAGAATAGACACATGTCCAACCTTATCTCTCCTTATCTCTTCTTATGCGCACAAAACAAGAAAAACAAATCTGAATTGCAAGATTTAGTCAGACACATTCCTTTTCCATGCGTTTTATGAGAGGAGAGAACTTGTATGCATGTCTCTTGTTGAACGACACTCCACCCTTTGAAGTCACAAAGCTGAATGCTCCACTTCATGCCCAAAGAAAAACCATACTTGCATATCTCTTCCTTCCTCTTCGCCCAAGCCGTGAGTTCTATGAGAAGGTAACAAAACATCCAAGCATTCTCTCTTTTCTTTCTCCTGTTCGGTCAAGGATCCCCAAACACGGAGGTATCGCAACTGCTCTACTTCCTTGTTCATCCTTATTCTCTTCGCTTTGATGGAGGGCCTTCTGCATGCAGATTGAAAGTTATACCCTCACTGCCATTCTGTTCTTGTGCGCACAGCCACTTCGTGTAGGAGAAGGTAAGACTTTTTTCGTTGCCTCCTTGTCTCCCCTACTTGGACCAATTTCTGACTAAGCTCTTCTCTTTGCTAGAATGTGATTCCGCTTTGATGAAGTCGCTCCATTCCATTGCATGCAGATTAGAGCAAGCTTATATCCATTCCCCTCCTATTTTCTCGTTCGGCCAAGCTCAACTTCAAGGAGATGAGCTGGATCGGATCCTTGGAGCATGAGACGTTGAGGATGTTGCGCATCCCTTTATGATTGTTCACTTGGCCGATTGTTGAACCTTGTGGCCGCATGCAGAAGGTAAAACTCAGACTTCAAACCCTCTCCTTCATCATTCTTGTTTCGGCCAGTATGAGTAAATTAGAAGGATTATGTTTTGTCATTTTATTCCCTGCTTCTTGTTGCTCGGCCCCACATACATTTAGGAGGGTATTTTATTTGTGCCATTTTCCTCCCTGAATTCTGTCATTTGGTACAGCCTTAGGAATTGATCCATATGAACCTAAATTGAAAAGTATGAACTTGGAAAATAGCCTCATCTAAATTGTTGGACTCCTACTTGAATTAGAAAAGTTAATAGGCTTTGCATGTGCTTAGAAGAATGTAAACAACATGCTGAAGATTATATGAATCATGTCTAAGTGGTATTGGTAGTATTTTGTAAATGAAATTTATAAGCATTTAGTTGATGAACCAACCTTGTATGCGCTAAGAACTATTTTAGGCAGCATGATAGACCTCATTATCACCCTCCTAAGTCTTGTAGAACATGTATGTAATTAAATAAATTTACAGCTCTTAGGTGATGGTGGTACAAACCGAATCTGCATGCATAGAACACCTTGAGTGTTGGCACTTGATAACCTTGGGTAATGCACTCTCAAGTCAGAAAATGTACTTAGTTAGGAGCCTTGAAATTTGATTATAAACCTAGTACTAAGGAAAATGGAAAAGCTATGTAACGTAGAGGAATGAATGTAATGAATTCTGATTTGATGTATATGTTTGTTTAGGTGCGCAAGGTCCTAAATAATTAGACTGTTTGATGATATGTGGAATTCTTGATTAAAAAGCTAAAGTGTCGAGGTAAGTGTTTGGTGGTATTACCTAATGTGACTATTAGCTAGCGTATAGAATTGTGAATTGTTGCTCACACGTGCCTTGGATTAATGTGCTGTCGTATGCTATATGTATGCTGCCTATGAATGTGACAAGATAGAAAATTTTGTATGAGAAGTAATTGTTATGTGGCAGCTTGATACAGAAAGTACATGAAATATATGCTATTATGATGATGATCTAGTCATGCATATACACCTCATAATTCATTTGTTTCTTGTTTGTGTGTAAAGCATATCATGGCTTACATGCACGAATTTCATGCTGCTCATGGACTAGGATAATTATATAAATATGCATACATTTGAGCACGCATCATATAGGCATCCCTCTGGTACCAGGGTATGGGACACTTGGCTTCTGTCCGCATAGGCCATAGTTGGAATTCACCTTTGAGGAGCCATTATGGAATATCCACTGTGTATGTTAATACGTGCACGACAGTGCTATGAACGTACAAGGAAATGGTGTTATATACGCACTAACAAGGAAATGACGTTATATTCGCACTATTATGACTATGATGAATATACATGACCATGGCGTTATATGCGCAATAAGATGATGATTAACAGCTGTACGGAATTTTAAATGTTGATGCGGCTGTTTTGGAATTTTGTGCCTAGTCTAATATTGTTGTTGTGCTGGTTTTATTGCCACACTACTGAGATTTTTCTCACCCTTCGGGGGCTCAATTTTTATAAATTGCAGGAGGACTTAGAAGCATTTGAGGAAGTGTTTGATGACATGATTACATGACAATTCTGTTAAGTTATGCTTTTGACAACCTTGCTGTTTGCTCGCTGTCTCTGTTGAGTGTATTCTGAATATTTGACATTGATGTAGTTTCTTAAAGAATGACATGCCATGATGTATGTTCTGTTTTGAAAAGAAGTGTAGCATGATGTTTATAATTCTGGTAATTAGTTTGCGAAAAGAATTGCTATTGTACTTAAATTCGGATTTTTGAACTGTTTTTGCGAGCACTTTGCGAGTTGTCGTTCTGGGGCTACAGACCTCCGAATGAGGTATAATTCATATGTACGTAAAGCCCCAGTTGTGTAATTTCAGATTATATAAACTTTACAATGAAATTATGAAATTCCGATTTATTATGATTTTTACAAGTCAGGAGGTTTCTGGAAAAAATACAATGAATTTTCAAGTACCTTGCGAGTTCTGTTTCGTGGGGCTATTCACTTTCGATTCGCTTATAATTTATATGTACGCGAAGCCCCAGATGTCTAGTTTCTATATATCAAAGAATATTTTTTTAAGCTGTTGATTTCGAATTTACATGATTTTTGCAAGACAGACTGTTTTCAAGAAAAATCAGAGTTGCGCAGCGAAAGCCTCTCCAAAAATTTACTTGCTACTTTTATTTTGTGAAGTCAGTTTTCCAAGCAAGATTTTAATTGGTAACATCAAAATTGTTTTTACTGAATAAGAATTTTACACGTTAATGTTACGTCTCTAATCAGTTTCAGCAGACTCTTCCATTGGAGACTCTTCCCTTGGATACATAGGAAGGGTGTCACAATCATGTTATCAAACACAATTTTTTTTTCTCATAAACTGATTTCAAGATACAGAAATAAAAAAAAAATTATTTATTTTCAAAAATAGTACCAGCTGAGCAGAATAGTTATCATAGCATTAGAATATCATTGAAATTCATTTTGAAAATAAATGGCGAGACTTGTTGTTGACGAAAGAGATACGAAAAGGGGTGCTTCTTGCTTACCTTAATTTGAAGCGAGGCACATCATGCATGAAACACACTCGCACACCACAGCCTCAAGGCCCCACCCACCAACATCATCAATAACAACCACCCTCACCCTTCATACCTCATCATCATCATCATCAACCCAAATGTCTCTCTGCTCTGTTTTCCTGTCCACCACTCCATCCTGATTATTTTGCTTCCCTAACCTTCTGCTTTGCATCTAAGCCATCACCACCTCCAGTACCAGAATCAGCCACCACACAACCGACCCCTCACCTCACATCACATTCGTGACTTGTCAGTTGTCACCATAGCCCACGAGTCCCACTTCGCATTTAGACCCTTCTTCCTTCCATCACTACCGCCACGTGGAGTTATGATCGCGAATAGGACTGTTCAGGACTATTGCTGCCCCCACTCTGTTTCTTTCCTTCTCCAATCTCTCACACAAACTCCTAAACCCATCATATAAATATCCCATTCTTTATTTCTTATTTTATTATTTATGATTTATCATAACAAACACCACCATCAGCTAAGATGAGGCCACGATTACCGTCATTATCAACATGCACGATGACGCGGCACATTATAAACTAGGTGTTTTGCGTCATTTTCAATTCATAGCCACTTATAGTGTGGTTCCAATCGTATCTCATACACACAAAAATAAGATTACAATCTCAAACAGCCAACCAAACAAAACAATTATCGATATAATATTAAAACACCGCAGCTATATTTCCCTAATTTTTTTTTTCTAATAAATCAAATTCCAAATACGTACATACATTATAATATTAAGCAAAAAAAAAAAAAAAAAAAAAATTAGAGGAAAACTAACATGGAAGTTAGTTGCACATGCACATCACTGAGATCAAACCCAATCACCACCCAAAAACAAAAGGAAAAAAATTTACATCTCGTAATTATGTGAGATATCCTCCAGGTTCTCATTCAAATTTCAAATATTCTTTGCTCTTTTCTTAAGTTATAGGGGAAAAAAAATATATCGAGGCTTTTCAGGGAAGATGAAAGAGAGTGGGATTGTCTTGATCAGACCAGTGAGTGTGAGTCCAGTAAGCCTGATCAACGGTGTTAGGAAGATCAAACAAACCTTGATCTGTACCAGCATGCCAATCCAACGATCCAAATCCTCCATGCCCAGTTTTATTTTGCAGAGTAGAAAACTCAAGAGGCACCGTGTGATCGAGCATGAACTCATGCTGATGATGATGATCAGTGCTCATGCTCATGCCCAACATCTTCTGCTGTTGCCACTGGTCACCACCTGGTGCTGCTTGTAGCTGATCATTCCCATGCTGATGAGTAGCGCTGAACCGAAACGACGACGCATCAAGGACGTTATTACCAAACCCAAACGGCAATGCTTCGTTTGGGGAAGCTATGAGGCTCGTGAAGCTACCTATATCAGAGAAAATGCCACAGTGATCTCCACCACCACCACCTTGTTCCGACTCCAAAACAGGGTTGTTGAACAACTTCGACTCGCGAAAGTTGTCCAATAACAAGTTGTTGTTCGATGCAGCGTTTGATGTCAGCGCCGACATCGCCTCTGTTGTGGCGGCGGCGGCGGCGGCGGCGGTGAGGGTGGAGCTTTCGCTGCTGGAGTTCGAGTTGGATTTGCGCTCTGGCTCTGGTGGCTGTGGCCCTGCTTGCGGGTTAGGTGTGGTAGCTGAAGCTATTTCTGAGGACGAGGATGAGTTGTTGTTGGTGTTGTTCTTGGGCTTGTTGGAGCGCTTTGATTTCCGGCAACCGCCGCCGACGGGGACGTTACGGAGGACGCCGCCTTTCGTCCAGTACCTTCGGCAGTTCTTGCAGAAATGGCGGGGCTGAGAGAGGTTGTAGTTGTTGTAGTAGCAGAACTTGGTGTTGAGGGAGTCACAGCGGGGGCACTTCAACGCCTGCTGGAGGTTGTTGTGGTGGTGGGGCCTCAGCCTCCTGTCACTTCCGCCGCCGCCACCGACGAAAAGCCTTCCTCCTCCGATGGGATGTAATTCCTGCATTTCTCCCTATAGAATTGGCCAACCCTGGCAGTGTGCCAAGACAACAAGTCCTCCAAAGAATTTTGAAGTCCTTGGGAAAGGAATTATTAAAAATAGCAAAAGAAAAACTAAAATAAAAACAAAAAAAAACCTCGCCTTGAAACTTGGTGTTTGAAAATTCACCCCTGAATTTCGGGGAAAATGTTGTTGTTCTGTGCTGACCAAGAAAGAAATCTCTCTATCTACTTCTCTCTATCTTATTTTATTTCTCCTGTTGTACTGTGTTTGGCTGAACATGTGTCAGTGTGTTAGCAATGTTTGTGAAAGGGTGTGAAGGAGGAGAAGTAGAAGAGGAGTTTTCTGACTGACAAATATCCCTCTACTGCACCCTACTGTATCCCTATCCTCCATTTTTCTATTACTTTTCGAGCCAATTGACCGAAACGACCCTATGGCGAGGGTGGATCCCACTCAAACTTTGCAAATGCGAAACTATCCGACATTAAGAAATTCTTTAATGCTTCATCAATGAATTTTGACCATTTCATTTTTTTTATACTGATTTTAATTATTTCTTTTACCACTCAATCTTTGCAAATGCGAAACTATCACCTCTTACCAATAATTTTATTATTATTGTATTAATAAAATTAATAATTATAAAATGACATCGAATTTTTTTAATAGAACAACAATAAAACAGTTATATGAAATTAATTATTCAAAATATTTGATGCTAAAGCCATGGACATGAAATTATTTTTACATGTATATAAATTTCAAATGAATGTGAGATTATATGTTAAAAAAAATTAATTTTTTTACTTGAATTACTCACATTATATAGTATTTTTTAACATAGAATTTTATATAAATCAATAATGTTTAAATAAAAATTAATATAATTGTTCGGAGGTGAACACTAATATCTAGCTGAATGGCTAGTAATTGTACTTACGGAGCTAATGGAAGAGATATCTGACAATGAAAAGTCCAGTATCTCAAGGCAAAGTCCGATGAGAACACTGAAAAAAATGTGTGTGAGTGTGTGTATTTATGGGATGGTGAATGCTTTAGTGCATACGCGTACGATAGTATGCACGGGTATGATATGCCTTCCTTAGGAGTATTGTTTGGGTATATATATAACCCTTAGGAGCAGTTATCATGGTCATGAGTGGCCCTAGAGCAGTTAACCCGCAGATAGTGATCGTGAGTGCTATATTGAAGGGTAGGATCATTATATAACAACCAATACTATCAAGTTATGTAAACAAGAAATTACGCAAGTGTTTAACGAAATCAAATATGTATTCAAGAAAATTATGACAAGTTAATCATGTGATTAACATTATAATATGTATAAGGAAACAATTCATGTCAAACAATTCAATTAGGACCCAAATGAAATTATTAGAAAAGATTGTGGGTCGAAGTGTAAATATGTTTAAGTTTAGGGACCAATTTATAATTAAGCAAAACTTACGCTAAACTTGATTTTTATGCCAAATTAAGAAAGTTTAGAGAAAATGGTGGGTTCAAAGTATGATCAGTTTAAGTTAATTATGATTAGATATTATTATTAATTAGGTCAAATTTTGGTTAAGTTATTAGCCAATCATATTCTTTATACGTCAATTGTTAAGGAAAGTCAAACTAATGTATAAGACACCTCGACTAAGTGTAAGTCGGTTGTCTCTTTTTATTCCCCTCCAGCTGCTGTCTTTCTTCCCAAAATAGGTTCAAGACTCCACTGCTAACCTTGAGATGCTTGGTTCTTCATTTTTGTAACGCCCGACAACTTGCAAGGGTCAATGACTGTTCCCACAAACTAACACGAGACTTTTCAGCGTGTTTTGTCGTCACTCACACACTTCCTGGGAAAACTTCCCAGGAGGTCAACCATCCTAGAATTGCTCCAAGTCAAGCACGCTTAACTATGGAGTTCTTCCGTTCCGGGCTACCGAAAAGTAGATGCATCTTGTTAGTATAAGTAGTACCAGTTTATTCTTATAAGCTATTTCCAATAATACCGTCACATATCAATAAAGTCTCTTGAATCCCTCCCTTTCGGGTGTTGATTCCATTTATTCATGAAAGTAACTGGCCTTGAAGGCCGGAGGAGGGAAAAACAAAAAAATTTCTTGCGGAAACACACATGCAATAAAGGCTCTTGCTTTAAGACAACATGATGTTACATTTGTTTGTGATTCTAAACCACCAAGGAGGTCAGTGTCAGGTTTGAAGGGTTCAAACCCTCTAACGTTGATCCACACCCCCCACGTCAAGATGCAAGAACACTTTCTTGAAAGCCACCAATTGACCACCACGAAGAGGCTTGCTATGCGCTCAATAGGTGAAGAAGGAGGCTAGGTGAATGTGTTTAGAAGAGTGATATTTTCAGCGTAAAATATCACAAAAGTGGCGCATGGAATAAAGGAGAATTAGCTAGGTATTTTTCTGAAAAACCTAAGGAAGAACTCCACCAAAGTTAGCACTTAAGAGGATGAGAGAAAGAGCTTTTATAAATTCAGATTTTTCTCCAAAAATCTTCCTTAAAGTGGCGCACAATCAAGGGAGATAAATTTAGATTTTTTTCTCCAAAAATCTGCCTTAAAGTGGTGCACAATCAAGGGAGAAAAAAGTGGAGTTGTTTTAATTCAAAATTCTAAACAACCTTCCTTTTTCATCCTCATGAGATTAAGTCTTAACCTAATCAAATATTCTGACTTAATGGCCATCATATGGCCAGCCATATGTGCGCCTCATTCAGCCCAAGAAACTGTCCAGATACGTTGAGTAGTTGTATTCATATTTGAATCAACTCACTCAATTATTCTCTCATCAAATTAAATCAGATTTGAGCTTATCTGGTTGACAAGATGACACTCATCACAACCCATAATGAGCGCCCAAATCATCCTTGAATGAGATCAAAGACCTCCTCTTGATACTAAGGATTTGTTCCAATCAAGATCTTATCTTACCTTTTGTTATGAAACAATTTTTCATAGCCAATTTAAATTCGAATTTAATTATTTAAATTCAAACGTTCAAATATTTAAATTCTAAATTCAAATTCTAAATTTAAACTCTAAATTCAAAATTCAAATTTCAAAATTCAAATTCAAAATTCAAAATTCAAATTTCAAAATTCAAATTCAAAATTCAAATTTCAAATTCAAAATTCGAATTTCAAAATTCAAATTCAAAATTCAAATTTCAAAATTCAAAATTCAAATTCAAATTTCAAAATTTAAATATTTGATAATTAATTTAACTAATTAAATTAATTAATAATGTCTTGGACCATCCAAGCTCATTAACCAAACCATGCGCCCTATTCCTCTTAGGAGGGCTTCCAAACTTCTTCTTGGGCTAACAACCATTATTAGTCTTAATACCTTTAATGCTATATCATCTTGACAATAAGGTGTTAGTGTGTGACCCATTAAGCCCAACATAGCCACTGACATAAATGGGCTTGGGCCCAACAAGCCCACAACCCATCTAATGACAACACAGAGCACTAACAATGCTTTGTTGCCCCAGAGCTAGTTAGATTAATGACTTGATCATCCTATTGCACATATTTGGTTGTCGTATATATTTCCTTTCATCTCGGTTACTTTCCCATTAAACCTAGGGTAAGGAAACGTATCAACCCTTGCGGTTTAGGGTAAGCTTTATTCGAAATAGGGAATCTTCAATTTACTGACTCTAAAGGCAGATCATCTCATGATCTCTTTTACTATGCGTAGATTCCCAAGTCCCTGTAAATGTCATCCCGATTTCTCCGGTTTACAGATAACCTAATCTCTCACAGAGATTTGATGAATTCCTTTAGCTTATCACCCTAGCCCTGTGCTCTTTTAGGACAAGCCCAACAGTGTACCTATGAGTCTCCATGTTTCAGGCAGACGAGGTATACAGTCAAAGCGTGCCTTCTAGAGCACAGTCTAGGTAATAACTTCTGGTCTAAGGAAAGACATACCCAAATATAAATAGACTACTCTAATGATACTCTCTGTGAGATTTCCTCATAGAGTCTTTTTGTGGGTCTGTTCAGTGCGAGCTATACCCTTATAGGTCTACCCACGACTTGAGCTAAGACATCTCCATATCTGTAGCACATGAGGTAGACCTTGTATCCGTATACAAGTAGATAAGTCGTGCTAGTCTTACCCGAGATCACTGATCCCCATTCTCAGTGTCTCTAGACTAGGAACATAAAATTAGGAATAAACATTCAGTATCCTTGAATCCTCATGATCGTGATCTCATCACTGATACTCAAGAGATACCTATTTTTATTCCAAGAGGTTTATCCAGTTACTCATATATAATATTAACAATAATATTGAGACAAAATATGAAACAGGATAAAGAGTGCTTTTATTTATTTGTGACAATATAAACGGTCCACATATGTCCTAATCTAATCAAAAGATTGTCTCTAGGACATCAATATACTAACAATTCATGTATCCCCGCCGCTGGAAGTCTGCCAAGAGTCGCTCCTTGTCTGTGCCCTTTCGCACCGGCAATCACTCCCCGCCCTTGCAGCACTCGGGATGTTACATGCGCCCACCAGCTTCCGCCTGGTTCATCCTCGAACCACACCGTACTGGGAAAGAGATCCTGCTCTAATATCACTTGTAACGTCCGACCGCTTCAAGAATCAATGACTATCTCCACAAACTAACATGAGACTTTTCGGTAGCCAGGAAAGGAATAACTCCATAGTTAAGCGTGCTTGACTTGAAACAATTCTGGGACATGTGACCTCCGGCGAAGTTTTCCTAGGAAGTGTGTGAGTGAGGACAAAACACGCTGAAAAGTCTCGTGTTAGTTTATGGGGACAGTCATTGATCCTTGCAAGTTGCCGAGCGTTATAAGTGGTATCAGAGCAGGGCCTCTCTCCTAGTACGGTGTGGTTCGAGGATGAATCAGGCGGAAGCTGTTGGTAGGGGTGTAAATGGTCCAGGCTAGGCCGGGCTTTGGCCTTCCTGGCGTAAGCCTACATAAAAAATATTCAGTTTATCTGGCCTATTACATGCTTTGTTTTATAGGCCTGGCCTGGCCTATTTTAAAAAGTTCTAAAGCCTGCTATGGCCTACAGGCCTTGTAGGCCTCCCACTGCAGATACTAAACAAAGAAAATAATTGTATAGTGCAAAGAAAGTTCCATTCATGCATGCACTAATACTTCTCATAAGAAATAAAAAATGACAAACAAGAGTTAACATAATATCCCAGCTCTATAATGTATATCATAGGGGAATTAGAGTCAAAGAAATGGGGAAAATAAGAAAGAAATACAATTACTAGGTCAACCAAAGACGAAAATTAGAGACGAGAGTGAGAAGTCACTTAG